CAATTGTGTGGGTCTATTTCTGGTGTAGTGCTGTAAGGTAAGCACTTGACCATAAGGTCAGTTTGATCCTCAAGGTTGGTGGTTCAAACTCACCAGCCGCTCCTTGAAAACCCTATACTGGGTCATCACTATGAGTCAGAACCAACTCAATAGCACTTAGCAACAGCAACATTTCTGGATACCATATTCTGTTCCATTGCTCTATGTAGCTATCTCACTGTCAGTATCACATGGTAGAATATTGATTGTTGTAGTATTGCAACTTCTGAAATATTTTCTCACATGTTTTGTGAAGATGGTGGTGAACTTTCTGTGATGTGGCCCCTTGCAATGATGATGCCCTGCCCTTGCCTTTCAGATCTCTACGTGTATGCTGTCCTCGTGTGCTGTGTTGGGATCATCAGCATTCTTCTGTTCACTTTGATTATCATCTGGCAGTCATTGTTCAACAAAAAGAAATCCCGAGGTAAGAACTGATGTTCTCCTGTCTGGAGTGGGGGTAACATTTGAAGGCCTGGTTTTGAACACAAATGAAAGGCAGAGGATGCTGGGGAAAATGTGTAGTTTATTCAGGAGTTATTTATCTAATGGGCAAAGAGTGATGAGTGAAAAGGTTTTACCCCTTGTTCTTGTTAGGTCCTGTGGAATTGTCCCCCAACTCAGGGTGATCCCACAGCCAATTGCACAAAATGTTGCCTAGTCCTATGCTATGTCCATATGTTGTACGATCTCTGTTGTGGTCCATAGGGTTTTCACTGGTGTCAACATTTAACGATATTTGGAAGTGCATCACTAGGACTTTCTCCTTGTCTGTCTTAATCTGGAAGCTGCACTGAAACTTGCTCAGTATCTTAGACTTACAAACTTTCTCTGATAGATAGGCTGTGATTGTGCATGAGGTTCATTGGCTGTAATCGAATCCAGGTTTTCTGCATGGAAGAGAAGAATTCTGCCACTGAGTCATCAATGCCCTATTGTTACCTTAAATTCTGCTAAAATAAATTGTGACCACAGCTAATTTTGTTTTCACTTCCCTGTTTGTCACTATTTCTTCTTTTGGTTACTGAGATTGGTGTTTTTTGTTTGTTTGTTTGTTTTTAAATTGAACTTTTTATTGTGAATTGAGTGACGGCTTACCAAACAACATCATCAGTTTTACATTCTACAAATTACACACTTTGTTTCATCTCCATGACCA